TACAAGCGTAGACACACGCATCAACTGTAGTTTTAGAGGACATAAAATCCGCACCTAATGTTGACATCACTAAGTCATTGAATTTCCGGTTGTCTGAGCCTTCCACAATGCTTGTTTATCACGTATTTTCAAGAACGCGAAACTTATTTCCCCAACTGTAGAATAACAAATGAGCAATATTTCATTTGGTTTACCCATTTTCGAAAAATAAGTCGGCGAAACGCAACTTAGTACCAGGAATGTTAGGGACGTGAAGAGATGCCAGAGTTGTTAAAGAGCGAAGCAGACCCAGGTTTTTTTAGGTTATGTTGATGTATTACTGAATGCAGTGATTAAGTTGAGTACTACCAACTGGTGTCATGAAACAAACTAGCAATGATAGTACCACGACATACCGAATCCCCATGACGACTATGCTATGAGCCTACCCAAGAAAATAACTTCTAGGATCCGAAGTAATTAAGATGCACTTCAAAAGGCCTGATTAAATTGGGATGACTTAAAACAAGCCAGAAGTGGCAATGCTCGACCTTCTCAACTTTTGTATTCCGCGCATGGTCTATTTTTAAGGACAGTAACTCAAATTATTTATGTTAAATGGATGCCATTTAATTCTTGGGATATCTATAAACTTGTTATAATTCTATGGCTTTTTTTACCCAGGTTTTATAGTCTGAATTTTCCGTAAATTATTACGCTATTTATCAACAGCGATTTCATGGAAGCCAATCACTTATTTTCTATTCCAATACTTTTAACAAAACATAATTACCTTAAATGTTTGATTTTGTTCTGTCAGAAGGTTTTGAAAATTCTTTTCTAACATTCGCAACAACTCCGGCATAAGCATAAATTGATTTTGGTTAAAGCGTGACATCCTTTGCTTGGAATTTTTGGCATCCATGTACGTCTAATTAATGTTTGTGGGACATCGGCGACTGTTCCCAACCCAAAGTTGATACTTCTTACGCAGTCACATAATTCGCGTCCACCCGGATACACCCCACAGCAGCACACCTCACTTTCCATTCCACTTTTGCAATGGATTGACCCAACCTCATCCACGTATGCGCACATGCCCACCCTTGTTGTCACCATCCACTGAGTCGCTGTACTGGTTTCTTACAACAGTCCACGCCCTAGGATGTCTCGGCGATCGCGCATACCGCAGCCAGATTTACCCCACTAACGGCGGTGTTCCTGTCAAGAGCTGACCGCACTACCCCAAGGCCGTCTTAATTCGGATTGTACAAACTAGCAGAATTCTCTGGTCGCAATGCGCACAGCGATCCACGAATCACCAACACAGTACTGTGAGATAAGTCAACACTGAATAGCACGTGTACATCCAAACGGGGTGATACCACATGTAAACTGGTCACGGGACGAACTCAAGTGACTCAAGTATACAGAAGAAACAGTATCGTACAGACAGTAGCATTCTCAGGCAATACAGTAGGGCGTCATCCAGCATATCCATAATGATGGAATCGATGTCATGATTTCAAAAAGAAGTAGAGAACTAAAGAAGTTAAAAATACTGAACTTGAAAATCTCAGCATCCGGCACAAATGCTTCCTGCCGAGGATGTCTGCTGTTCAGCACGCCCGAGGGTGAATCCACCATCAGCCGTGTTAACTTTTCGATTCCTTTCAAAGTAAGGCGATCGGACAATCTAGACCAAAGGACGAAGTACATTGACAATGCAACAAATAACATATCAACAGAGAGTACAATTAGCACAAAGGTAAACAACCGCAAGCCAGCACATTTACAGTTTACGAGACTAGACAAGATATTACGCAAATAGAATGCTTATTCACTAATTCAGGATGGTCCAACGGATTTAAAAAATTTAAGAGTATTTCCCGAATAAAATGAATGAAAATTAGAAAAAAGTGACCAAGACGCCATCAAATGCTCAAAACGATTTCAAAAAAGTGCTTCCAGTCTCGCCTATTTTGGTGAGGGCCATTTTACAATAAAATAACAAAAACGTACAAGAACGCGAAACTTATTTCCCCAACTGTAGAATAACAAATGAGCAATATTTCATTTGGTTTACCCATTTTCGAAAAATAAGTCGGCGAAACGCAACTTAGTACCAGGAATGTTAGGGACGTGAAGAGATGCCAGAGTTGTTAAAGAGCGAAGCAGACCCAGGTTTTTTTAGGTTATGTTGATGTATTACTGAATGCAGTGATTAAGTTGAGTACTACCAACTGGTGTCATGAAACAAACTAGCAATGATAGTACCACGACATACCGAATCCCCATGACGACTATGCTATGAGCCTACCCAAGAAAATAACTTCTAGGATCCGAAGTAATTAAGATGCACTTCAAAAGGCCTGATTAAATTGGGATGACTTAAAACAAGCCAGAAGTGGCAATGCTCGACCTTCTCAACTTTTGTATTCCGCGCATGGTCTATTTTTAAGGACAGTAACTCAAATTATTTATGTTAAATGGATGCCATTTAATTCTTGGGATATCTATAAACTTGTTATAATTCTATGGCTTTTTTTACCCAGGTTTTATAGTCTGAATTTTCCGTAAATTATTACGCTATTTATCAACAGCGATTTCATGGAAGCCAATCACTTATTTTCTATTCCAATACTTTTAACAAAACATAATTACCTTAAATGTTTGATTTTGTTCTGTCAGAAGGTTTTGAAAATTCTTTTCTAACATTCGCAACAACTCCGGCATAAGCATAAATTGATTTTGGTTAAAGCGTGACATCCTTTGCTTGGAATTTTTGGCATCCATGTACGTCTAATTAATGTTTGTGGGACATCGGCGACTGTTCCCAACCCAAAGTTGATACTTCTTACGCAGTCACATAATTCGCGTCCACCCGGATACACCCCACAGCAGCACACCTCACTTTCCATTCCACTTTTGCAATGGATTGACCCAACCTCATCCACGTATGCGCACATGCCCACCCTTGTTGTCACCATCCACTGAGTCGCTGTACTGGTTTCTTACAACAGTCCACGCCCTAGGATGTCTCGGCGATCGCGCATACCGCAGCCAGATTTACCCCACTAACGGCGGTGTTCCTGTCAAGAGCTGACCGCACTACCCCAAGGCCGTCTTAATTCGGATTGTACAAACTAGCAGAATTCTCTGGTCGCAATGCGCACAGCGATCCACGAATCACCAACACAGTACTGTGAGATAAGTCAACACTGAATAGCACGTGTACATCCAAACGGGGTGATACCACATGTAAACTGGTCACGGGACGAACTCAAGTGACTCAAGTATACAGAAGAAACAGTATCGTACAGACAGTAGCATTCTCAGGCAATACAGTAGGGCGTCATCCAGCATATCCATAATGATGGAATCGATGTCATGATTTCAAAAAGAAGTAGAGAACTAAAGAAGTTAAAAATACTGAACTTGAAAATCTCAGCATCCGGCACAAATGCTTCCTGCCGAGGATGTCTGCTGTTCAGCACGCCCGAGGGTGAATCCACCATCAGCCGTGTTAACTTTTCGATTCCTTTCAAAGTAAGGCGATCGGACAATCTAGACCAAAGGACGAAGTACATTGACAATGCAACAAATAACATATCAACAGAGAGTACAATTAGCACAAAGGTAAACAACCGCAAGCCAGCACATTTACAGTTTACGAGACTAGACAAGATATTACGCAAATAGAATGCTTATTCACTAATTCAGGATGGTC